GGGGAATGTGGGGGAGGGGCAAGCAGTGAAAGATGACAGAGGTCAGCCAGGAAAAGGGATTACTCCAAGTGTAAGGAATAATACTAGAAGGCCAGTGTGTGATGGTGAAGAATGACAGAAGATCTGGTGAGGTGGGTAGATGCAAATCAAGGAGGATCTTGTATTTCAGGCTAAGGTTTTTATTTTAATTATTTTTAAATAAAATAAAAGGGTTTTATATTAGGTCGATGGAAAAGCATTGAAGCGTTTTAAGCAGGGGAGTACCATGTTCACCCTTGCATTTTACAAGGTCACCTTTGGCTGCACAGTGGAGAATAGGTAAGAAGAAAGCAGTATCAGAAGTATGGAGATCAGTTATGGCAGAGCTGAGGTAGCCCAGGTAGTAGATAACTATGGCTTGGATTAGAGTAGTGGAAGCAGGAATGGAGAAAAGTGCATAGGTTTAGTAAATATTCAGGAGGTGAAAATTTACAGAAATCAGTGATCAATTGAACAATTGGCTACGAAAATATAAAGGATGATCTCCAGGTTTCTGCTTGAGAAAATGAAAAAAAATCCAGAAACATCACCCATTTACTGGTAGCCCAAGAGAATACTTGTTTTCTAAACCCCATTGAACAAAAAGCCTACAATTTCTAGTAAAATTTCTTCAGGTAGTCAGAGGCATGAGATAAGATGTGGGTCCATGGGGGTCTAATTAGCTAGGATATAGAAAGGAAGATCTATAGTTTACCTGTACACCTTCCTCCCAATGTATTTGATACACATAGTCTTCTTGAATTCCTGATTCCCTCTTGGGTCTGCAAAGGCTCCTGAACCTTAGGGAGTCAGACCTGTGCCTTTCACTTCTCCTTTCTCTACTGTTGTCTCTTCCTCCCTTCTGATACTCTTCCTGGTGTGGTAGCAACCAATAATCTATGAGCCATCTCAAACTCTGTCTATGGTTCTGACCAATTCTGGATCCTTCTGAGAAAGCCCACTGCCACTGAGTCTATTCCAACTCATAGCAACTCCTATTGGGTTTCCAAGGCTGAAAATCTTTGTGGAAGTAAATTGCTTCATCTTCCTCCCATGGAGCAGTTGGTGGGTTTGAACCATCAACCTTCTGGTTAGCAGCCAAATAACTTGCCCACAATGCCGCCAGAGCTCCTTTCTGAGAGAGCAGCCTTTTAAAATTACTGCTTTAGAGATCTATAATTGAAACAAAACAAAACAAAAACTGGAAACAAATCCATCCAGAGTCACTGTTACTAAGAGTAACGGCTTTCTGCTATTTGGTTTGATAGATGAGCTAATTAGGAAAGTATTACCAGGTAACGGGGACCCAGGTCCCCTCGATGGAATGATGGATCTTTCATCTCTATTAACAGCAAAGACATTTCTGAAGCAAAGTCAGCCTTAACCACTACCACACTTAAATATTGCTTTCATACTGTAATTTTTCTTGTAGTTGATCCAATAAATTCCCTTTCTTCTGGGTGGTTGTTTTCATCTGGAAAATCTGTAAGAAGTAAAATTTTCCCACATATTATATGAATTCATAAGTCAGATGCTAGGCCTAGCAAGGACTTCCATAACACCCTCCTTCAACAAGACTATTTTAGCACATATTCAGAAAGAATGCCAGTGTGAGAAGAGAAGAGGGCTGAGGACTGAACTTTAGAAATACCAGCATTTAGGAAGCCAGCAGAGGAAGCAAAGGTCAAGAAGAAAGTTGAGAAGGAACAGCAGGGTAAGAGAAGACTCAAGAAAGAGTAATGTCATGGAAGTAATCCAAGGGAAGAAAGACTTTCAAGGAGGAGAAGTGGTCAAAAGCATCAAATGCAGCAAAGATTTCCAATAAGGTCAGGACAAAGAAGGGTATGATGAATTTGGCAACATGGATATAATCAGTATCAGTGGAAAATGGAGAGAGAAGCTATAATGCAATGAACTGAATACAAGGAAAATGATGAAGTAGAATAAATAAATGCAGGGCCCCCTTTCGAGAAAATTGGAAGGAAAAATAGGCAGTAGTTAGAGAGTGATAGACAAATCTGTCCTGGAGAAAGTGCAACCGGAATGCTCCTTGGAAGCAAGAATGGCCAGACTTTGTCTCACCTACTTTGGTCATGTCGTCAGAAGGAACCATTCCCTGGAGAAGGATGTCGTGCTTGGTAAGGTGGAGGGTCAGTGAAAAAGGGAAAGGCCCTCAACAAGATGGGTTGACACAGTGGCTCCAACAATGGGTGCAGGTATAGCAAGGATCGTGAGGCTGGCACAGGACCAGGCAGTGTTTCCGTTGTAGGTGGTGTTGCTATGAGTCAGAGCCAACTCGATGGCACCTAATAACAACCACAGAGAGTGATGGGAGTTCCTGGGTGGTGGGTGCAAATGGTTAATGTGCTCGACTGCTGACTGAAAGGTTGGAAATTCAAGTCCACTTAGAGACACGTTGGAAGGAAGGTCAGGTGATCTACTTCCAAAAGTTCAGCCATTGAAGACCCCAGGGAGCAACAACTAGTACACAATTAAAGAGAATGTTGATACATGGTGGGAAAAAAAAAAAAAAAGAAAGAAAGAAAGAACTGATGTCACTGAACAATTTGTGTAGAAATTGTCAAATGAGAATAGAATTTGCTATGTAAACTTTCACAAAAACACAATAAAATATTATTTACAAAATAGCAAGGAAACCCCAGGGAGCCCAGTAGTCCTCTGACACACCATTCCATCCTGACATGGGCTCTCCATGAACAGAGGTCAACTCAACAGCAACAGTTTTCTGTTTTTGTTTTGAGAATATGTGACGTTAAAGGTTTTGGTTTTGTCTTTTTATTTTTAAGATGAGAGAGACTTGAACATGGATCTATACTGTAAGAAAGACACCAGTAGAGAGTTTGAAAATAAAGAAAATAGAAGATGGGAGACAGGGTAAAATCCTAGAGGAAGTGAGAGGACCTGAGACCAAAGATTCATGTAGAGAATTGGACTCCTTCACTTTACAGACTGAAACAAAGGGGTAAGTGTGAGAGTGTATGTGGGGTAATTAATAAGGTGGGGCACAGGGAGAACAAGAAAAACCTCACAAAATAATTATTATCCTGTCATAGGTATCTGCTGTTGTCCCCACCATTGTTATCTGGCCAGCATCCATTCCCCCTTTTGTTGGTAATAGCACATCAATTTACTTTAAAGACCCATCCCCTCCCCACTCATAGTTTATATGGTTCATATGGGAATCATTTCTGTTCCACAATCCACTTCAATAATGGGCTCCTAACCTAGGATTTTGGGTTTAACCTAGGATTAGCCCTTGAGAGTCAAAGTGATCACTTCAGAGATGGGCACATGACTCAATTTGGGGCAATGAAAGTCAGACCCAGAATATTCTTGAAACTACTGGGCAAGGGGCGCTTGTAGAATGGAAGCTGGTAGACACTTTGCCACCGTTAAAGATGAGCCTGCCAACTGAAAGAAGGTGAAGCTGTGGGATGGAGAGAGACAGTTCCTGAATAACCTCTATCTGAGACCTATATTAAGCTCTGCGTAAAGTCAAGATGCGCCCCTGAATTTTTCATTTATACAAATCAATAAATTCCCTTTTTGCTTATGGCAGTTTGAGATGGGTTTTATCACTTGCAACCAAGAGTTATGATGAATATATGTGGCAGATATTGCCTGCTAGTGCTCATCCACACATCCATTCTTGTATAATCTCTCCTGGACCAGGAAAGATTATACCAGGGCTGGAAATTTAAAAACCACATTTCTCAGACTCCCTTGTCAGCTTGGTTCTGGTTAGGTTTTGCCGACAGGAACTCTCACGTGAAGTTTGAAGGTGGGAAGAGAGAAGCCCTTCTCCTTCTGCAATGCCTTGGCAACATCTGGCAGTGGCTCCTGCCTAGTGAAAGTGGGAGTGGATCCAGCAACATCTTCATTTTGGGCAAATTTAGGGGCTTCAGCTTGATCCTTAGGCAATACTTTATCTTCCTTCTGCTCCTCTAAAGCAAGCTGGTAGTTTCCTAATCTCTGAATTACCCCCATTTTCCCTCTTAAGCTCCTCCAGACCTTCCCACACCTTTGTAACAAATTCCTGGCATTAAACATTTCTCTGCTTGGAATATATAGAGTGGTTTCTGTTTCATTATTGAACATTGCTTAATACAATATGCAATCAGTTTTGAGCACACATACAAATGAGGCTCAGAGAAGTTGAGTAGGTTTCTCAAAGCCACATCTTTCTCCTGAGGAGTGGCTGGTGGGTTTCAACTGCCGACCTTTCATTTAGCAGCCAAGTGCTTAACCACTGTGCCATGAGGCCTTCTTATGGTAGTACACATTAGATATTAGTATATATTTGCTAAAGGAATTGCATAAGTTCTACTCATGTTTAGAAATCAGCCCAAGTGCTATGTCATATATGAAGTCTTTTCTGATCCCCCACCCATCCCAGATATTGCAGATTCCATGCCCCTCCCTACCATCTTGGTGCATATAGTCTTCCATTTTCATATCTATCTCACTTTATTGTGTTTATCTGGTACCCTGTTTGTGTTCTTCTCCTGATTGTGATAGAGTGGAAGATCCTTGAAATTAAGGACTGTATTGCCCCTTTGCTGGACACATCGTTTTGCACATAGGAGGTGCTAAGTGAGTGGAGGAAATAGAGTGGTCCTTTACTGGAAATTCCTTGGGGATAAGTTAGAGGCTTCCATGTGTTATAATAGGTGGGAGGAGAAGAGAAAGAGACAGCCACTAAAATAGAGAGGAGGAAGTTAACTTTTAGTACCAGAGTTTGCTAGTAACCGTTTACACACCTCTAGGCTCCCTGATACGATGCAGTGGTGGCCCCAGCTGTAGCATACAGACCTAAACAGGCCCAGACCTCAGACTCTGGCCTTGTCTCCACTTTTCAAGCTGAAGGAAAGGAAACCATTAGGAGATAACTATCCAGACACCGTCAAAGATGAAGAGGAAAACTCAAGATACTCCTTAGGAGTAGATCTTGCAGTCCTTACATCTGGCCCCAAACCCTGTTCTCAGTCCCAGCCAGTTTCCAGTCCTAAGTGGAACCTGGCCTGAGGGGGCTAGATATATCCCACCCACCCTCCTCAGCACTCAAGGAATGAGGGAACATTTAGGCAGTTTTCCTGAACTAGAAAGTTTTGGAGCCCATCTGGAGCCACTGCTTGGCCTTATCTTCCAGTGCAAAGCCCTCAATGGCAGTCAGACTTTGCCAGTCCACTCCTCTACCCACTAAAGTCCCATAAACAAGGGGCCACCATGTCAAGAGGGGCTAAATCTGAGCCAGGTGAGGCATGGGCCAGGGCCCCTTTCAGAATGAATCCAAGGGATAGATTTGAATCTATATTCACTGTTGCTAAACCAAAAAAACCAAACTCACTGCCGTCAAGTCAGATCTGACTTACAGTGACCCCTCCTCGGGTTTCTGAGGCAGCATCTCTACAGAAGTAGATTGCCCAGTCTTCCTTCTGAGAAGTGGTTAGCAGTCAAACTCCTTAGGCACTATGCCATGAGAGCTCCTATTCACTGTTGCTGGGAGTAGATAATATTGCACCCATTTTATAGAAGGGGCAATTGGGGTTAGAAGAGGAAGCATAGAGTAAAGGCTCCCTGCTGGGGTCTCAGGGTATTATATGAGCAAAACAAAAAACCTCCCAGCCTCAGCTGTCCCTGCCAGTGTAAGAAGGTATGAAAGAGGAAAAGAGTCTCACCTGAGACCCAGCTGCCTGTAATCTACACCCAATCCCCAATCAAACTGGTCGTCAGCAAGTTTGTGACTAGTAAAGAACCAAGCACTTTAGCCTAGACCAAGGTGACACTTGCTAGTCTAGATGGTATAGACACTATGGTCCTGGGGGGAGGGTGTCAGATGCTGTCTGCAAGCAGGACTCCTGAGGCCCTCGCTGTACTTCCCAGGGTACCCTGCATCTGCATCTATGTTCCAAGATGCCAAGTCCCTCTCTCCTCTTTCCTCCCTCTAACTTGCCTCTGATACCCAGCTGGCATTTCTCAGCTTCCCCAACCTCAATCTCATTCCCTTTGTTATGCCCAGTTCATGAGAACTAAAGCCTTGTCTGCTGGTGTGGTGCTGCCTGAACCACGTGAAGCCTCAATTTGAGGGCTCCCAAATAGAAGCTCCTCAGATGGCAACTCTAACTCAGGCCACTTTGCACAGGCACAGAAGCCCCAGGCCTGATCATTCTTTACACCTTGGGGCCACTATGCTCAATTATTAGTGGGTTGAGTCAAAGTTCCTAGCTCTGCCTCTTACTTGCTGTGCAAACTCCACTTTCCTCTTCCTGCTCTGGTCTTCTGTTTCCCGCTGTGTGTAGATAGTCTGGAAGAATCCAGTTTATGATCTGGATTTAGAAATCATTTGTGAAGAAATGAGGTTGATCCTCAGCTGTTCTTTCCATTGATTCCCACTGTCTTTTTTGAGCTTTAGAATCTCAAAAGAAATATAGTTAACATCTTAATTCAAAGAAGTAAGATTGGTCCACAACCACAGGCTCAAGTGAAGGAACATTCTGGCTTTATTGTAAAGAAACTGGGGATATAGTTTGGCCAGACTCACTTCAGGAAGCCCGTACGTGATTACAGCCAAGAAGGCTGGCCACTGTCTGGGGCTGAGGCAGGACCTCAGCTGCATTTAGTTTGTCCACATCACTGTAGCAGTAAACATTGGAGCCATGGATGAGGTACAGGCTGGGACCATTGGCAGAACATGAGCTGACGCCTAGGGACTTTTCCACACACAGGGCCCCATCAACCTTCTTATGGGGCCAATGGAGCTCCGTCCATTTGGCTTGAGCTCCTAACTTCAGGTCCAGCCACCACAGCCGCTCTCCTGAAAAGAAATCATCCAACATAACATGGCTTCTATGTCAAGGGGACCCTGATCCACCCTTTGCATGCCCTAGTGGGGATCTGTGCCATGACAGGAGATCATGATACCCCTTAGCACCCAGAAGCCTTACCTGCCATGACGTGGAGCCGAGAAGAACCAGGACAGGTAAAGGCTGCATCCACAGCATCAAGATTCATCCCCTGAGGGCTCCCAAGTTCCTTTTCCAGCCGCTTTGGATAACCACTTACTAGGGTATAGCCTCCCTTTGTCAAGAAGACATACACCTGGGTGCCCTGGAAGACAAAGTACATTAATCAACATAGAGCTGGATAACCTTTCCCTAGTCTCCACCTCAGGCCTCTCCCTAGGCCAGCACACACCTGGACCAGATAGAGTTTGTCCTCCCAGGAAAATGCAGCATCCACCGTGGAAGGGCCCTGGAGCCACTGATGAATAATGGGCCAGCTATGCCATCCATCCCGGCTGGTGTCCAGACGCCAGTAGTGGGACCCTGTGGGCAACAGGAATGAGTCTAGTGGTGGTGATAGATGGCCAAACAATGAAGAGGCTAGCGACAGATGCAAAGGGTCAGTCCTGAAGAGGGGGAGAGAATGCATCCAGAAGCCAAGAAGAAGAATACCAATATGAGAGGGAGGAGAACAGGATTTGGGCAGCAATGGGTATTGTGACTCAATTAGAGCTGGTATCAGTAGGGACTAACAGAAAGACAGGCATGAAAAACAGTGGTCAAGTTGCCAGGTAAGGCAAGTATCACTGAGTTTGGTGAGGGGCTCCCTAAGCCTTTCAGTGTGTGCAGTGGTGTGGTCATAGACGATGAGATATAATGGCCAGAAGTTAAAAGGAAACACCACCACAAGCTTCTACTGAGTTTCCTCATTCTGGGCAGGAGAGTGAGGGAGTAGCCAGGCTAGCATCCCAATTTCCTTCTCCTCTTCACATAGCAACTTATTAGAGGAATTGTCTAGGTTGCCTTTTATACTTTCTTAGTCAACCCACTCCAATTATGCTTTTGTTTCCTTTCTCCACTGAAATTATTCTTATCAAGCCACCAGTATTTTCCATTTTGCCAAATCCAATACTCAGTTCTCTGTCTTCATCTTACTCTAACTCTCCATACCATTTAACTGCTCACTACTTCTTTCTTCTTTAAGTATCTTTTTTTTTTTTCTTTCAATCTAGGATTCTGTGATACCAGCCTGTATCTAAATATTGGGACCTCAGTAGGGCTTTAGTTTGGGCCTCTTCTCTTCTTTGTCTACTCTCACTGCCTCAATAACCTCACCTAGGCCCCAGGCTTTGAATGTCATCTATATGCTAATGCATCTCAATCTATTTTCTTCAGCTCTGACCTCTCCCTTGAGCTTCAGACTCAAATTCAATTGCCTACATGACATGCCCATTTGGCTGTTTCATTAGGCACCTCAAGCCTAACCTGTCCACAATGATTACTGCCTCCACCAAGTACACAGAAACACACACACACACACACACACATGCATGCATGCATATACACACACTCCTCTAGTCCTCCTGTTGTTGTTGTTGTTGTTATTTGCCATCGAGTCGGCCCCGACTCATAGCGACCCCTCCTTGGGTTTCCGAGGCAGTATCACTACAGAAGTAGGATTGCCCAACCTTCCTTCCGAGGAGTGGCTGGTGGGTTTGAACCTCCAGCCTTCTGGTCTCTCCCAATTTTAGAAAATAAAACCACCATCTCCCCAGTCCCAAAAAGTTGAGTTATTCTTGAAACTTCTCCTTTCCCTTCTTCACTGTGACCAATATCCCTTCTATCATTAATCTGTCAGCTTTATCTCCAAAATATATCATCAATACATCTCACCACCTTCACTGTTGTCATCCTATCCAAGCCACCATCACTTCTTACCTAGACTAGAGTTGTTGTTGTTGTTGTTGTTATGTGCCGTCGAGTCAGACTAGAGTAGGAACTACTAACTGGACTTCCTGCTTACATAATTGTATCCCTATGACTTATTCTCCACCAGAAGCCAGGATGATCTTCTAAAAAATAAATCAGAACATATCCTGTCTTTGATCATAATCCTCTCATGACTTCCTTTCATAGCTGAAAATCCTTAGCAGGTCTGTGTAATGTGGGTTTACCTCATTCTCTGATAACTTTCAGGATACCTTCTTGCTCCCTCACTCAGCTCCAGTCACACTGGTTTTCCTTCCTGATTCCTCAAATACATTGATTCCAGCAAAGTTATCTGCTGTTAATTTTACCTCAAGTGCATTTTCTTCTGTGCTTCGTTTATTGAGTTGTCTGTTGCCATCAAGTCAATTCTGACTCATCATGACCCCATGTATTACAGAGTAGAAGCGAATTACAGAATTACAGTTTTCTTGACTGTAATCTTATGCAAGCAGTTCACCAGGCCTTTTCTTCCACAGTACTGCTGGGTGGGTTTGAACCACAAACCTTTAGATTGACAGTCAAGTACAACCATTTGCTTGCACCACCTAGGCTCCTTCCTCCTATGCTTTGCACAGCTAATTCATTTTCATCACTGAAATCTCAGCTCAAATATCATCTCCTCAGAGAAGGGACCTCCTCATTCTGCTCACCTCTATCCCATTATCCTGTCTTATTTCCATCAGAGCGCTTAATCCTCTCTGAAAGTATTCCCTTTTCTTCTTTCTCTTCATTGGGGCTCTCTCTCCATCTTGCAGGCTCTATGAGGATGGGCATCTTGTCTGTCATGTTGACTTCTATAACTGAGTACCTGAAACAATGCCCAGTGTTGATCAGGTGCTCAATTAAGATTTATTCAATTAAATGGGTGGTGTTTTCACTACAGCCACAAATGCTCTATAGCTATGTACTAGGCATGTTGTGGTGACTGACATACACAACTTCCCCTCCTGCTGAAACTACGCTGCTCACTGTCTCCTACTTTAAGAACCAGTGGAGAAGGGTTAACTGATAAGCTCCTAACCAATCAGTAGCCAAATATAGGCTGGCCAGCAACCACTTTAATATAGTCTGGTATGAAAATATGACCTGGGACAATTAGATATCCTCTAATTCTGGAATTCTGACTAGAAAAAGCAGAGCAACTGAGGCAGTTATCAGTTGGAGCTGAAGCTGAAAGTAAAGAGAAGGAGGAGAGAAGATGGCCCATGTGCAAGTCAAAGTTATGAAGCAGCAGAAAGAATAAATAAGAAGCTATGAGGTAAAGAGAAAGATCAGAGAAAGGAGACCACCAGTCCCTTGTTAAATAGCTGGGTCACATTTGTGCTTTCACCGAGATAGTATGTCCTCACCTCAGCTGGGCATTTTCAATATAACAGTGCTCTCTCAACAGCTGTGGGACATAGCTAATACTTTTGATTCAGGAATAAAAAGCAATCACCAACTTCAGTTGCATCCTCATTTCGGCCCAAGGCCTTCCTACAGTTCTGTGATCTTCCCGTGGCTGGGCATTTTCCCTAAATCTCAGAGTGGTCACTGGGGCCTTGATTTCTCAACCTACCTCTCAACCTTATTTTGTCTATGTGCTCTTTTCATAGCTTACGTTCTCCTGACAGACACTCTCATGCTCTTCTATGGCACTGTTCTCAGTATAGCTCTTTATTTTCACCACAGGGTATGTTTTCATCATGGCTTTTTTATTATGGCATGTGTTCCTGATGAGGGAATATGATCTTCCTGTGGCTGTGGATTTTTTCATTATAACTGGGCAGTCATATCTGACCAGACTTGTCCAGGGAGTAGGAGGAAAAAAAGTATTTTCATATTCTATATTCTCACCAGGAGCTCTGGTGGCATAGTGGTTAAAACTTTTGGCTGCTAACCAAAAGATCTTTGGTTCAAATCCACCAGCCACTCACTCCATGGGAGAAAGATGAGGCAGCCTGCTTTTGTAAAGACTTACAGCCTAGGAAACCCTATGGGGCAGTTCCATCCTGTCCTATAGGGTTGCTGTGAGTCAGAATTGACTTGATTGCAGTGGGTTTGTTTTTGTTATTGTTGTTGCTTTTTGTTTGTTTATATTCCCACCACTACCTTGTATTTGCATCTGATTATGTGTATACATCATAAGCTGGGTATAACATGATTGTTCACTCCTTCTATTGCAACTGTTCTCAAGTGTGGAGCAAGACTCATTACAACCTGCCTGCTTCACCCCAGAACATCTCTAGATATTATTAGATGGCATTTACCAACTGATATCACAGGTCAGGAGAGGCGTATCTCCATCAGCTTCTCAGAGGGGAAACCTCAGGCTAGAAAGCCACATTTTAAAGTGCCTAGGGTACCCAACACTTTTTCTCTGCAATGAGAATAACTCATCTACAAGGAATGCTGTGCCAAGGCACCTAGGAAAAGATAAATGCCTGTGAGTACAACTTCAAGGGGAACCAGAAGACCTGGTAAGACATGGCACAAGGGGGATATGAGAAGAGAGCTATAGATGTGCTGAGAGGTAGACAGATGGATGAAGTTAGGGATTTGGACAATGAGAAACAAGATTGAGGAATACACAAAAGAAGAGATGAGAGACATGTAAGAGAATGTTAAGGATAGGGGAGAGATGGGGCAAGATAAGGATGCAGAGATAAAGATGGCAGAAATAGATCAGGGATGGAAGACCCAAGTGAAAGAGAGGAGAGGTGAGGAGGGCAGAGCAGGGGGAATTGGGGAACATCTCTTACCACTGAAGGCATAGGTGGCGCCATGGATATCAGATAGTAGTGCAGACAAGACGAGATCTGGGCTACAGCGCTCAGGGATATTCCCATGGTGGGTCTCATTTCCGTGTCCAGGGCCATGACCTTGGGGGAGGGTAGAGAAATAGGTGAGGAGAAGGAACATAGAGGGAGGCCAGAAATCAGAGTGAGGTCTGACGTAAAAGAGAAGGCTGGGATCCGTGGAAGGGTGGGCTTCATATGAGGACCTGAGAGAAGAGCCAAGATGGAAATGGGGCTACGGTAAAAGCCAAGATGTAACACAGAGTTAAGATGGGAGCTGTGGCTCATGGTAGGGGATCTGGACAAATTCCAGTGGGTACCAGGGGCTACAACTTTCTCACCTCTGCCAGGACAGGTCATGAAGTAGTCTCGGGCATCCAGAGGGTACCTGGGAGGCACCTCTCCCGTGACAGGGTTGAAACGCAGGAACTGGTTTCCCTGGAAGCAGTAGTAGCGGCCCAGCCATCGCAGGGCAGAGGAGCAGTTCCCCACAGCTGGCCAGGAACGCTCCTTTTTGGTTCCCGTTGTAAAGTCCCAAAACCACTTGTGGTTACCTTTGTTCAATCAACAAGCATTCAGTGAGGTCAGGCTATGTCCACCCTGTGCTCGCACTGGGTCTCAAGACACACCAATATGGTCCTGACCAACATGGAGCACCCAACCAGCAAGGAGACAGTTGAGGAAAGTGAAAATATAGTAAAGTGCAGCAGTAAAGTTCACATGATCAACTCAATAAAGGGCAGGGGGAAGAGTCAGGGAAAACTTCCCACAGGAAGTGAAACAAACTGAAATCTAAAGAGAGGGAGATGGAACTCCAGAGAGAAGAAAGAACCTAAAGCATGAAGCAAATTGTACATACAGAGAACAGCAAAGAGTTGCTAGAACACAGAATTCAAGGTAAGGGTAAATAAGAGGTGGAGCTGGAGGGGCATGGGGACATTTATATACCAGGCTAAGGAGCATAGATGTGTTCTGAGGGTCACAGGGAACAATGAGAGATTTTAGCAAAATTATGCCCAGTTTAAAAAAAAAAAAAGTTGTTGTGAAATTAATTCCAACTCATGGCGACCCCATGTGTTGCAGAATAGAACTGCACTCCATAAGGGTTTCAAGGCTGTGACCTTTCAGAAATAGACTGCCAGGCCTTTCTTCCCAGGTACCTCTAGGTGGATTCAAGTTGCCAACCTCTCAGTTAGTAGTCAAGCACTTAAATGTTTGTGCCACTCAGGAAGTCCTTACACCCTGTTTCCTCCCCTCACTTGACCTCTAGACCAAACTGGTTTCTCCATATATTCTCTTCCTTGTTATTGTTGTTGTTGTTATGTGCTGTCATAATGGTATCACCAGCATCACCATCACTGCCTCTACAACCATCATTACTAACACCACTACCACTGGCACTGCCAACTTACCCCCAGCTCTCAGATTCCAGTCTAGACTGACCTTGGAAGAAGAAGACACCCTCCTCTTGGCATTCTCCACGGGGACATTCCACAGCTGCATCCAGTGGGGATGGGATTCCAGGAAATTCATCTTGGAGCAATTTTGGATATTCTTTCTCCTTCTTAGGAGGGTACACCCAGACTTTGTCTCCCTGTATACAAAAGCACTCTGTTTAACTCTGCACTCCCAGATACTGCCACTCTGAATTCACACCCAGCACTTACACAATACCCTCCTGCAGCCCCCCACATTCTCAGTCCATCTGCAGGCAACAATATGCCTTCCCCTTGCACCAGAGTGATTGTTCATAGTCAGATGTGGGCATGTGTTAAGGCAATTGTGCCTGCGTTTTCACAAGATATTGCCTTAACGCATGCATGCATCTGCTATGAACAATCACTCTGGTGTCACACATTTCTGTAATACAATCAGTCTTGGCAAACACCCCCAAATCACCTACGCACTCACACATTCGTTTTGTTATTCATTCAAGAAACAATTGCTGAATGCAAACTATACACCAGGTGCTATGCTTGGCATGGGAAAAAGGGATGACAAGACCCTGCCTCTGCCTTTAAGAAGTTTACCATGCAAAAGCAAGAAGAATACAGACAATCCTAGCCATGGACCCACCAAGATGGGGAGCATGCAGAGTGCAGTGGGGGTCCAGGGGGAGTGTCTAAGTCACCTAAAGAAGTTCCGAAGGCTTCACATAAGAGGAAGCATTTTGGCCAAAAGTTGAAAACTGAGCAGCAATTATCCAGGTAGACAAGTGAGGAAAGGGTGTTACCAGCAGAAGGAGCAGCATAAGAGGGAGCCTAGACATAAGGACGGGAGCTCTGGTGGCATAGTGCCTAAGGCACTTGACTGCTAACCAGAAGGCTGGCGGTTCAAACCCACCAGCC